TTTGATATTTTAGAATATATTTATTATTATTTAAGATAATATTTTTAGTTGATAAGAAGCTATATATATATATATATATATATCTTGTCTCTCCATCTACCATAAAAGAGATAATTATTATAATTCTCATTTTTATAATGAAATTACTTACTCGTTGCATGTGAATTTTTTGTCTCTCATATTGGGACTTTTTCCACGTTAAATTTTCTATGTCATCTTTTATTATTTTTCTCTAACTTTTCCATATTTTTTAATTGTTTTATCCTATTTATTTTTGTTAATTATTTGCACACTTTCTAACAAGTGGCATTAGAGTTAGGTCTTGCCCAAAACTTGTAAGCACGTTGTTGCTTACACATTTAAAGCCTAAAAATAGGACATGCCTTGCCTTAGTAGGAACTTGTGTGTGTCATACCATTTAAAGTTCAAAATTAAGCTGGCCCTAAAAAATAAGGACTTAGTGTTTGGGGCATATTTGATATGAGAAGCTTATAAACCCATACCTAAGGAAGATATTGTTAGATTGTTTAAGTGTGAGTAAACGTAAGATAATATAGAGAATCTCACATTGGATAAAACTAAACTTAATAACTAATATATAATAAAAAAGAAAGACCTATAAACTTGAGTTTTGAAGTTTTGTGTCAAGATCTGGCATATTCTTCCACTGCTCTTGCTTGTCTCTCCTCTCCCCTCATTCCCCGATGGTCGTATTAGGCTCTAGTATCACTTGTTAGGAAGCATGTAAATAATTAGCAGAAGTAAATAGGAAAAAATAATTAAAAATTATGGAGAACTTAAAGAAAAGTGATAAAAGATGACACCGGATTTAACAATTAAAAATTATGGAGAAGTTAAAGCACTTTGATTATCACAAAAAAAAGTTTAGCAAATAAACTTCGTCTCAAAGAATGGCTATATACCATTAGTATAGTTGAAGGTACTTCTATTCAATCTCATCTTGATACATATAATTCTGTTATTATAGATTTAGAAAATAATGATGTCAAAATTGAAGATCAAGATAAAGTTATTTTATTAGTTGTCTCATTGCCTCCTTCTTATAAATATTTCAAGAAAGTTATGCTCCATGGAAATTCAGACAACCTACCCTATTTGGTTGCGAGGTTTTGTTATTAAACTTGGTGTTGCCCAAGGAATTACTAATATTTTTTGTGATAATCAAAGTATTTTTCATTTAACTAAGAATGACAGGTATCACTTAAAAACTAAGCACAAAGACATCGGACATCACTTTATCAAAGATATTGTTGCAATTAGTGAAATCATTGAGAAGAAAGTTCATACATCCCAAAATATAGCAGATATACTTACGAAGCCTTTTCTTGATATTAAGTTCGAGCATTGCTTAGGCTTAATCGGTGTTTGCAGCACTTGATTGTCCTTTGAGGTTACTTGGCAACTACGAGCATTACTAAATTTGAGTCAAGGAAAAATTTGTTAAAATTATGACTCAAATCTTTATAATTCCTTGTGATTATTTTTATATATTATCTTGATATAAATTTATCATACTTCTATTTGATATTTTAGGAGATATTTATTATTATTCAAGATAATGTTTTTAGCTAATGAGAAGCTTTATATATATCTTGTATTTCCATCTCTCATAGAAGATAATTATTATAATTCCTATTTCTATAGTAAAATTACTCACTCGTCGCTTATGAGCTTTTTGTCCCTCATATTGGGAATTTTTTTATGTTAAATTTCCTATGTCATCTTTTATCACTCTTCTCTAACTTCTCCATCTCCATAATTTTTAATTATTTTATCTTGTTTATTTTTACTAATTATTTGTGCACTTCCTAACAAAAAAAAATAGTAGGTCGCAGAAAAATTAAATAAATAAAAAAATAATAGAACTTCTTCCAAAAGGAAAGAAAGGATCATTATAGAAATATAGAATAGGTTAGATTGGGGTGTTGGTGGATCAACTTCATTCTCTGTATTCTGGTGGACGAAAAAATAATTAAGATGAGAAGTAATCAAGTTGAATTTTTGTATTAAAAACAAAGAAACATGTTTAATATTACAAACATGTTCAATCTCTCCATAGTAGTACTGTTACATCATCATCGTTCCCACTGCAATTCATTGTACCATATGCTTTAGTTGGAGCGCTAGGTCTCTCTGTTCGTCACTTTTGTTTCGAGCTTTCAAGATGATGTCGTTGACAAGAGCAGCCCCTTTCACGTACAATTCAAAAAGATTACTTTCGCCATGGTTCTTTCTCCTAATATTCGTCTTTTTCAATTTTTGCAGGCTTTTCAATCATTTCTGGGCTCTACATTTTATATTTCCCACTGCCCCACGAAATTTTAATTCAAAATCATACTGTTTATTGATTATTACATAAAATACATGCAGACACATTAAATAATATATAGTATTCATTACGTCTCTTTCTTCCTTCTTTTTCTTCCGGTCGAGTGCTCTGGACCTATACTCCAATCTGCAAAACTCTACCACCACGTTTTTTTTTTTTTTTGCCACAAAAAGAGATACTATCACGTGTTTAAAATTGTTGTATTCTAAGAAATCGAACTCAAGATGTCTAATTAATCTTAATCTGAAACAATTCTCTAATAGTTAAATTAAGTGATTTTTTTTAATATAAAATTTAAGTGCTTGATTGTTCTTTCTTTTCAATTTTAGAGGGTAAAAAAAAAAATACAAACAACTAGAATGGGACTTGCAGATAAGTAAACAGCCTGGGCCTTTTGAGCCCAAAATAGGTTAGATATATGGGTCTAAAACGGGGCAAAAAGTATTGAAATGGCCAAATGGGCCTCGATCAACTTAAAGGCTAAACAAACCCATTCTTGGAATTGGGTTTTTGTTTTTTCGTTGAATGATATGTTAGGGACCCGATCTTCTTCATAGATGACAGTTCTCTGGACTTGGGCTCATGGGCCCGATGGAGCCCATTCCGTTACAGGCTACAGAAACAAAGAAATTTAAATATCCAAGAAATTAAAAAATGTTTGGGAGAACAACATGCAACAATCATGGAAGGAAATTAATCTTTATAAAAAACTATGAATTTTTAAAATTACGAGAATGACCAAGTTTAAACAAAGAAGTAAATGTAAGATGAGTTTCAAATCTTTTTTTTTTTTTTGCCAACAGATCATACAAGTTTAGCTACTGATGAATTATAAATTGTGAAGGATCTGTATATATTGTAAACTTAGTTGCAAATCCTGGAAGCATAGTCCTAAACCACGTAATATTAGTTGCAACTGACGATTTGCAGCTCATCTTCTGCAATTAGAAATTGAACTGTGTCGATCACATAAGGTCATTAAAGTCCATTTAATGTTTTTTTTTTAAATGGTCCTTTGTAATTTTAAAAATTCATAGTTTATGGTACTTCATTTCCTTCCACGTTTGGCATGTAACTATGTATCATTCTCCCAAAAAGTTAGCCAAACAAATTATTTCTGGGCAAATAAAAATAAATAATGTCAAGAAAATTACATGCGTCAATCATGTAAAGAAAATATTCACATGAGCAAATTTCCGTTTAATTCCATCCCATCCTATGGTCATTTATTTTGAGTTGAGTAATAATAAGTTAAAAAAATCAGTAATCAGGTAAACATTTTAAAAAAAGTACTGAACTAATGATTAACAGATACATCACCGTAAATTAAAACGCCTTAATGCTGCGAATTAAACAATAAGATATAGAATTAAATGTTAATTTAATCTCTCAATTTTAGATTCAAGAGTGTATAGAATCGAAAAATTTATTTTTAATTTTTCTATAATTTTTGATATCATTTTTTATTATTTTCTAATCAATTAATAATTAAAGTTAACTTTTATTAATAATAAAAGTAAAATTTCACTATTTTCATAAATTAATGATAAATATTATTAAAAAAATGAGTTTAAAGTTCTTGACACCACATACAATTTGGTGGCCAAGTTACCCTTTAATAAATAAATATATATATATATATATATATATAATAAAAGTATTTATCCCTCCATCCTGGCGTTAGTCCTTTTTCTCCATTCCTGTGATATTTTTCTACCTATGCGGTGCCATGCGCGCCATTCGACACCCTGGGAAACAGATTGGGTTTGGAGAACAAGATGCTCACACGTGAGTACGATTCATATCGTAATAAATATTATTGGCGTTTCATGCGCACATGCTGCAAATTAAATATCTTCCTTTTCTACTGCATGCAACCAGCAATAACGCCTTTTATATTGCAGATATAACGTAATTAACCAAAGGATTACAGCAATAAATTACCGTATCTAATTTAACCATATCCAACACATGTGCTCATCAAATTACATACTCTCCATCATCAAGTATACAGTACCTATTCGCCCACACCCTCCCAGACAGTTTCCAAAATAATGTATGGTTTCTACATTGCCAAGACGGGACATCCCCTGTCTCTACTTTTTTCTGCTTTGTATTGTACCCTAACTTTTCCTGCATTTGTCCTCTCTTTTTTATTCAAACACGCCAAAATAATAATAATGGGATGGACATATTAAATGCCTTCAATAATTTCCTTTAATTTATTTTGTATGCCCCACCAAATAACTAACACACCATTAATTTATAAATTCATTTTAGTACGACACGCTTATTTGTAATTTGATTATTGAGATGTTCTCTAATTATTTTTTATATATACGGAAAAATACACACTCCTGTTGAAAGAGTACACATTCACAATGTTTTCCTTTGAAAGCCCAAGAAAGTTATTGAGATAAGGAACACACCACTTTCTCCGGCAATAATAAATTAATAATCAATATAACAATTCCCCTAATATTGTCATTAATTAGTAAAGTAATATATGCATTTGAATGACATATCAAAGTTTTAAATGTTAGTCTAACATATTAGTCTAACATAAGCGGTTCACATATATTGCATACAGATCGCGTTATAGACTATATATACCCGCCAATAAAAATGAAAGAAAAGGAAAATGTAGCACTTAACAGGTATATAATGACTTGGTAATGAACAAATGAATTGAGGACATAATTAGCTAGAGTGGGTTATTGATTGACAATACAAAATCACAATTAACAATAATTAACTAACTGTCGAAAGCCATCTTTTCTGACAGAGAACCCTTCCAACTGCCAGAGACACTCCACTTATCGGAATTAACTGCCGACGGCAACCCGTTGCCGCACTTAGCCACGGTTCTCACGCTCTCGATCAGTGCCTCCGTGCGCGATTCCTGCGACAAAATATCCGACAGCTGTTCGGGGCTTATAACCAGCTTCACCTTCCACACTCCGGAGCCATTATACCTCGGAACCACTTCCGCTTCCGACGACCCCATCTTGCCTCCGCCATGGCTGTTCTTGTCGTAGGTGAACATCCGGTACGGCGTCAAGTTGGCGGCTGACTCATCGGCTTGTTTTCTGGCCATGCTCTTGCCGGAGGAAGACAAGCCACAAGTTTCGAGAGGAAGAAGGTAGTAGAGCTCGCCGGGGAGGAGCTCGTCGGAATGGAGCATGGGCTCGGAGAAGAAACCGGGGCGGCTGCGACGGAAGATACCGTGGCCTGGAAACTCGTTGGTGATGCACTCGACGGTGATGGGAGCGTAGAGCTCCATGATGCCTCCGTTGGAGGTGACGACCTTGACCATCATGTCGTCGCCATAGTTGAAGCCTTTGAAAACGCAATTTCCCATATTGGAATGAAATGATCGGAGGGAAGCAATTTAGAGAGTGTTTCTGAAGAATTTATGAAAGAGGAAGGGGGAGGTTTCTTGAGGGTTTCTTCATGGAAAAAAAAAACTAACCGACACTAAAAGCATCAAATCCCTTTCTTGTTTGAGATCAGAAAACCCAGATTCCCTTTTCAGGATTTGGTTGGTAGTTTTATAGTGTGTAGGTCCCACTTGGCTTCGTTTACAGAAGGAACGGAAAGGAATTTTTATACAAGGTATTACGAATCTCTAAATTTAAATATAAAGAACGAAAAAATATAGAGAGAGAAAAGGAGCACACCACATTCTCCGGTATAGTGTGTGTGTGTGTGTGGAGATTAGTTCATTAGTCTAAATTCAGGTTGATGTACTAGATTAGTTCATTAGTCCTGGAATTGAGAATATGTAAATTTAATGAAATTTCTTTCTTTAAGAAAAAGAAAGAGAATTTTATGTTTTATAAAAAAAATGAAAGAAATCTAAAAAGCAAAACTTTATAAAAATCCGTGGATATTTATTTAGAGAATTTGCTCTCTTGTGTATTTACGTAAAGAGCTTAAATTCTATATACAGTAATAAAGTTAATTACAATTGTGCAAACAAAATGGGATATCCTGATATAGTTGATAAGAATGGATTCTATATGTACGTATAGCTTATGGAAGCAGTGTCGGTTTACGTTTCATCATCTATATAACAAAATAAGCCTCGTCAAATGCCAATAAACAGTTTTTTATTAAAAAAAAGCAATTTTTAAAAATGAGCTTTCCCTAACACTTGAAAGAGAGGGGGATGGAGAGATCATGGTCAAGGGACATACGTTATCATAGGAATGGTCCGAATGGCAATGGATGCCACTTTTAACATAAAAAAGGGACCCACTTTTCACCGACTGGAATATTAGTAAGAGTCAACAGTTGGTGACTAGGTTCTGCAAGAGGCAAACGTTTTAAATAATATAAAAATGGTCATAGATAGAACTTCAAGAGAAAGCATCCCTAGACGGCATTTTCCAAAATTTGCACAGTTACAAACGACGTCGTTGCGATCGAATGATTTTGAAGCCGGCGCTGTGAATATTACGGTTGATCTCACCGATATTGAAAGAAGCTCGCCAAAATTTGATCCCCTAATTATAACTAGTCAACTCCAATCAATATCCATCACACTTGACCAACTATACATATAAATATCATGACGCGAGCACATCCTAACTACATTTATTCCATTACCTTATCTTTAATAAATCATTCATGATATCTATCTATTTGGTTATCTACAGGGCTTATAATTTATATTGGAGGACACAATAATCTACAAAAAATTCTTTCATCTCTTATCTCTACTTATTCTCCCAATATTTTTATTTTCTAGTTATTTAATTTTATAACACATTATCAGTACAAGAGTTCTGATAATCTAAACGTTTTATAGCAAGGTTTTTTATTATAAGGTAATTTTTATGTTCATATATGATTTGATTTATTTTCTAACCATTTGATCCTTTTAATCTTATTTAATCTTAAATATCATCTAACTCTTATCATATTTTTATTATAATATCTATATGTTGAATCTTTCAAAATTTAAGTTCATGGCTCTTGAACATTATTAGGAAAAATTATCTATCTTTGCTACTAAATGCGAAAATCCATTTAGATGTCAATGGTCTTAGAGACACAATCAAGGATGACAGTCAAGCATCCAATCAAAATAAGGCTAAGGCCATGATCTTATTTTATCACCATTTACATGAAGGGTTAAAAACTGAGTATTTAATTATAAAAGATCCCCTTGTTCTTTGGAATAGTTTAAAAGAAAGGTATGACCATCAAAAAACTGTAATTCTTCTAAAAGCTCATTATGATTGGATGCATTTACGTTTACAAGATTTTAAATCTGTGAGAGAATATAACTTTACAATTTAAAATCAATTCTCAACTAAAATTATGTGAAGAAAAAGTCACCGATGATGAGATGTTAGAAAAAATATTTTTCATGTTTTATGCATCCAACGTGCTCCTACAACAACAATAACATGAAAAAGGTTTTAAAAAATATTTTAAATTAATTTCTTGTCTTCTTTTGGCTAAACAAAATAACAAGCTTTTGATGAAAAATCATAAATCTCATCCAACTAGTTCTACCCTATTCCTTGGAGTGAATGCAATGCCAAATGAATCATCTTTAGGCCACTAATGGCTATGGCCGTGGTAGTACATCTTTCTACCATAAGTGGACAAATAATGAAGAGAAATATAAGAAAGGAATAAGTGGGGATGATGATGATAATATTGAAAATTTGTGTTACCGTTGTGGTAGTAAAGGTCATTGGTCATGTACCTGTCGTACTCCAAAATATTTGATTGATCTTTCCCAAGAATTGCTTAAAAGTAAAAGTAAAAACAAAGAGACAAAGATAGAAACACATTTTGCTTTTGAAAAAGGCCATTTTAATTATGGTGACATGGATATTACTCATTTAGATATTACTGATTTCTTTGCCAATCTTAATGGAAGAATTGATCACCTGATTAGGGATGAAAATGTCCAAAAATAAATTTCTCATATCTTGATGTTGTTAAATTTTATAGTTAAATGTCATTTTAATTTTCTTGCATTAGAATAAAGAATTTACTTATAATATTTTTTTGAGAATTTACTTATGATATTGTTGTTTTTCAATGAATAAAGTTTTTGTATTTCATGTTTTAATGGTATGTTTTTATGTTTTTTTAATGAAGAATGAGTATTCATCTAATTTGCACCAATAACAATAATGGAGATATGTGTCTCGTTGATAGTGCAATAACTTATACAATACTAAAAAATAAAAAATATTTTTCTTCTTTAGTAATGCAAGAAGCTAATGTTTAAATTATATCCAAAAGTATAAAAATGATTGATGACTCTAAAAGAGTTAATATATTGTTGCTTGGAGGAACTCAATTACACATTGATGGTACATTTTGTTCTACTAAGTCTGGTAGAAATTTATTGAGTTTCAAGGATATCTGTAGAAATGAATGCCATATTAAGACAATAAATGAAGAAAATAAAGAATATCTTATTATCATGAATTTACTTTCTAGTAAAAAATGCACACTAGAAAAATTACCTACTTTTTCCTCTGGCTTGTAGTACACATTTATTACTACAATTAAAATACATACTATTGTAAACCAGAATAAATTTAATGTTTAGCATGACCGATTAGGCCATCCCGGATCAATTATGATTCAAAAAATAATTGAAAAATCATGTGTACACTCATTAAAAGGTCAACAGATTTCACAATCCTATAATTTTTCATGTGTTGTATGTTCTAAAGGAAAATTAATTATTTAACCATCACTAATAAAAATAGAAAGTGAACCTCTCACATTTCTAGAACGCATACAAAGTGATATTTACAGACCTATACACCCATCATGCGAACCTTTAAGTACTTTATGGTTTTAATTGATGTATCAAAAAAATGGTCACATGTTTGCCCTTTATCTTCTCGTAACCCAACATTTGTGAGATTGCTCGTTCAACTTATTGGATTAAGAGCACATCTTCCTAATTATCTTATTAAGAAAACACATATAGATAATGCTGGTAAATTTACTTCACAAGCTTTTAATGAATATTGCATGTCTCTTGGAATTAATGTTGAACATCTTGTAACACATGTTCATACACAAAATGAACTTGCATGATCATTGATTAAATGCTTACAATTGATTGTACAATCATTACATATGCGATCGAATCTCCCAAATTCTACTGGGGGACATGTAATTTTATATACAGCATAATTAATTTGTATCAGGCCAATAGTTATCTTAAGAGCTCCCATTTAGAATTGGCTTTTGGTCAGAAACCTAATACTTCTAATTTAAGAATTTATGGATGTGTACTATATGTTCCAATTGCTCTACCACAACATACTAAGATGGGCCTTCAAAGAAGGATAGGAATATATGTTGAGATGAATCTCCAATTCTCCATCTATAATTAAATATTTAAAACTATCAATAAGAGATTTATTTACTGCTCGATTTGGTGATTGTCATTTGGATGAATAAGTTTTCCCAACATTAGTGGGAAAAATTAGTTAGAAAAAGAAATTAGTTACAATAAATTATCATTATCTCATATTGATCCTCATACAAAGCAATGTAAACTAGAAATTCAAAAAATAATTCATTTATAAAATTTAGCAATCAATTGCTTGATACATTTACTGACTCAAAGAAAATAATGAAATCACATATTCCAGCTGCTAATGCTCCAATTAGAATTAATATCCCTGTTAGACAGCCTATTATTGCAAATGATACTAAAACACGTATAAAATGTGGAACGTCTATTAACTCTAAAGATAAAAATCCTCAAAAAAAAAAGAAAAGAAACTGAAAACACAAATGGTCAGATCGAAGATAATCAAGAAAAGTTAGTAACTCATGAAGCGTCACTTGACACTACTAATATTTCAATTCTAAAAGAAACTCAAGTACCTAAAATGTGTGAAAATAATGAGATTTCAATAAATTATGTTATGAATAAAATATAATGGGACCGAAATGAAGTCAACGTTGATAACATTTTTGCATATAATGTAGTGCTTAATATAATAAATGATAATGAGGATCATGAACCAAAGTACATTAAGGAATGAAAACAAAGATAGGATTGGCCAAAATGAAAAGACACAATTGAGGCAAAATTAAAATCACTTGAAAAGCGAAATATTTTTGGACCTATAGTCCATACATTTGAAGGTGTCAGGCCAGTTAGATATAAATGGGTTTTTGTGCAAAAAGGAAATGAAAAATGAAATTATAAGATATAAGGTACTACTTGTTGCTCAAGGATTTACACAAAAAGCTTGAAATTAATTTTGTTGAAACATACTCACCAATGGTGGATGCAGCTACTTTTTGATATTTAATTAGCTTGACAATAAGTGAAGGACTCGGTTTGCGTCTAATAAATCTTGTTACAAACTATTTGTATGGTTCACTCAATAGTGACATTTACATGAAACTCCTTAAAGGATTCAAATTTTCAGAAGCATACAATTCAAGTTCTTGAGAAAATTATTCAATCAAGTTAAATAAATCCTTATATGGATTG